GCCTCCAGAACTGTGAGAAAGTAAATTTCTGTTGTTTAAGTCACCTGGTTGGTGGCACGCTGTTATGGCAGCCCCAGCAGACTAAGACATCCTGACCGGGTGAGATTGGGGCAGTTAGCCTCTCAGAGGGGGAGGGCTCTGTCCTTATGGGGTCCAGCAGGAGGGGCACTGCAAGGCAAGGCCCTGGCAGGAGCAAGGTGGTGGCCGGTTGGTGGATCTTTGAGGGCATTGAAAAATCAGATTGTTTAGGCTGCTGCTCAGCCGTGGGTCCAGCCCTTCAAGGACTGCAGGAATCTCCCTATGATAGTGGATCCTGACCTGTTGGCCCCAGAGACTGGTTGGATTTGGGGCGGGGGCGTGGCATCTGGGGCCGGGGCAACAGCAGATCGCTCACAGCAATGGGGAATCCCAGTGGACATTCCTTACCTTAGGACTCAGGTGGGTCTACACTGGCCCGAGTCTGTTTTTATAGGTGGAACCTAAATCCCCCAAGTTCAGACGGACAAATGGAAGATGCGATAGGTCCCCAAATCCCATGGCAAATGGTCAGGCTGGTGCAGGGGTCTCCTATGGGCCCTTTCCAGGAGCAAGAGCTGGCTGTGGTGGACAGAACGCAGGCTTTGCAGACAGACGGCGCCGGATGTGACCCCATCTCTCCCCGGGCGCTGTTTTATGTTTTCTGACAAGTCCCTTCTCTTACCTGTGCCTTGGTTTCTTCATCTGCAGAGTGGGGAGGATGACACCTGCTTGTCATGGGTGGCGACATTGCTGGCCTTCCATAAATGCAGTGATCATTACTGACATCATTCACAATTTTTTCGAACACCTATTTTCAGGGCACTGGGCTGGGACTGGAGCGAAAGGTGAGCAGAATTAGACAGGGACCTCGCCCTCCTGGGGCTTGGAGTTAGTGTGATCTCGAGCGTGGTGAGGCTGCCCTGCAAAACCGACTGGGTTCTGAGGACTCCACTGGCACACACACTGTGCAACCAGGGAGGAGTGTCCCTGCTCCTCTTAAGGCCTGTCCTCTTTCCCAGGTTTTGTTTTCAGTGCTGGTTTGCCATTGAAGAGCGTGTTCTCCAAACCCAAACCAGGACTCCTCGCCTGGGGCGTGCGAGAGAGTGTGGCCTCAGAAAGAACTGCGCTTGCTGTCTTGGCTCCCTGCTTAGGGCGGGGTCTTTCTCCAAGGTCTCTAGGACTGGGTGACGGCCTGACCGTCTGCCTTCAGGGATGCTCCGACTCTCCGGACGTCCCTGTGGTGTGGAGGAGCCAGAGTTCCCATGTGGGCCCTGCAGGCACAGTGCCAGCGAGCCCAGGTGTGTTGATGAAAGCCCAAGAGCAGGGCTTCTGACCAGATTGACATCTCTGGGTCAGGGCGGACAGTGTGGAGGAAGAGGCAGGTAAGGCCTTCTCCGGTTGCTATGCGCTGACCCTGGGAGAAGGCTGGGTGCGTTACAAGGCGAGAGGGGTTTCTCATTCATTCACTCAACAAACATCGATTGGGTCCTTTCCACGGGCCCTATGCACTAGGGATTCGGCAGTAAATAAGGCAGACAAAAGTCTCTGCCATTATTGTGAGGAGAGACACACAAGGTAAATAAATAAAATATACAGTATGTTTTCCATGGTGATAAAAGGTAAGGAGGAATAGTCAGGCAGGGAAGGCAGGGAGAGGAGGTGTGTAGATGTTGAGATTCTAGATGGGGCAGCCTAGTGGGTCCTCATTTAGAAGAAGCATGAAGAAAGACCTGGAGAAATGGGGGGAGGGGGCCGGGTGGCCCTCTGAGGGAAGGACACCCCTGGCTGGGGGACTAGCAGGTGGAGAGCCCCGAGGTGGGTGTGCCTGGGCGTGTAGGAGGCCAGGCTGGCCGGCTGCCTGAGCGAGGGGGAGAGCGTGGGAAGGAGGCCAGAGGTTAGGAGGGAGCTGGACACACAGGACCTTCTAGATGGCAGGAAGGACCCCCCTGGGAGCCAGGGGAGGGCTCTGTGCAGAGTGAAAAGATCTGGCTCGGATTTTTTTTTCACTGTGACATCCATTTATTTAATTGTTCAATTTTAGTGTACATGTATAGCAATACCAAATTATTAGCATGTATTCCTATGAACACAATCCTATCAACTAGAGTGCAGGGCTTATGTGCAATACTGTTTTTAAAACTTATTTTTATTTTGGTAAAATACATATGACATTAAATTTTGCCTTGGATTTTAACAGGATCGTTCTGGCTGACCTGTTGAGAACAGGCTGTCGGGGCAAGGGCTGCAGCAGGGAGGCCCATTAGGAGGAGGCGCAGCCACACTCTAGGTGAAGGGGAGGCACTCTCTCTGCTTTGTTCTCCGCTGAGCCCCAGCACCTGGCATGCTTCCTGGCAACCTGAGCAGGCGCTCAACAAATATTTGTTGAATAATGTGTGCATCAGTGATGCCCAAGTACCAGTTCTCAGACTCGTCTCAGGTAGGCCATAGGGGGAAGGTGTAGGAAAAACAGATCTCAGGCACTGCAGCAGGGGGTCCTGGTCCAATGGGTTTCTGATGAGAAAGAAGAATCTGCATTCTTACCATGGCCTGCAGGCAGTTCTAGGCAGGCCAGGCTGGCTTTCTGTGTCAGTTAGGAATGCTTTTGGTTGCAAGTAACAGAGACCAACATTGGCTTAAACAAAGAGGGATTTATTTACAGGAACTCTGGAGAAGAATGGCTGTTGGCATTGGCTTGGTCAAATAATGATAGGGTCAATCTCTCTGTGACTCTCTTGGCCTTTTTCTCATAATTGCAAGATGGCTGCTACAGCTCCAGACATCACATCCTCAATCAAGGCAGGAAGAAAGGAGGGGCAGAGAGGTCTTAGCCATGTTGATATCTTTTATTAGAAAAGCACAAGCTTTCCTAGAAGCCCCTGTAGACTTCCTCTTCAATTTCATTGGCCATACCTTATCACACGGTCATCTCAAGCTAGAAAGGTGGCAGAACAACAAGAATCTGGATGTACGGCCTCCACAGTGGGAGCAGCTAGAGAGAAGGAGTTGGGACTGACCACTGGAGAGTGAACCGAGGGCATCTGCCATGGTCCCTCCTACGTCTGGGGCTTCTTCTCCATGACTTGTCGCCTCCATGGAGAACCTCTGGGGCCCTCTGGGTGAAACCCCAACATGCCCTTGGAGGGTCCTATCTGTCTGAGACACTCTGTCTTGCTTCTCTGTCGTGCATCTTTCGCATAACCCGCACCTGTCAGGCACTGAAAACGGCAGCACGACATTCTCGCCAAGACGTCACCAGTCAGGACGGTCAGGAGCCACTGAGAGCTCGACTTACACACACACACACACACACACACACACACACACACACACACAGGCTGACAATCTACATTCAGAAAAAGGACGACATCTTCAGTCACCCAAACCACCCGGTTAGGAGTCAGACCAGGACGAGTCCTTTCCTCTGTGGGTCCCACCTTTGCTCCCAGGAATCAAAGCGCAGCCCAGCGGCAGCTCTTTCTGGCAGTTTCGGGGCAGTGAAAGGAGATGCCTTTGCAACACTGCTGTCAGCCTAAATGATGGATTTATGAAGCCAGAGGTAGGGATTTTAGTCTTCAGGGGGACAGAAACAGGCCGGGTTTATTCTCTAAATCTTTAAAAATGCGATAGGAGCAAAAGGTTAAAATATTTGAGCCTCGCGCAGGAGGGCTTTTTGAGGAAGAAAAATGGGCGAATTCATCGGAGCTGGCCCAGGGAGGGGGGCGGCCTCAGGCGACAGAGGCTGGAAACGCTGACTCAGAGGGGCCGGTCCTTAGAGGTGGCAGTGGGGTTTTTAAACCACCGTTTACATTTCCAGAAGCCTACTGGAAATCATTGTATATTTGTGTTCTCTAAGGCTGCAGGAAAAGGTTAAAAACTTTTTTTTCTTTTTCTTTTTTTGGCTAGAATCGCATCCTTAACCAGTGGCGACACTGGTAAGAAATGCAGATTGGCAATTCTATACATCTCTGGTAAAAATGACAATCACACAGCCAACACCGTTTGCTAGGCCAAAGGCTTCCTGGATGGGAGTCCTTGAGGGTGGGGTGGAAAATGAATGAAGGGTGCTTGGGGCTACAGAGCAGGGCTGGGACCAGGTGTCTGTGGGGTGGGGACCCCCAGGGCAGAGACCCACAGGAGGTGGGGGGCAGTGATGGCTCCAGGGATGGTATTTCCAATGTGTGTCGCCCTGGCTGCTCCAGCCCTGCCGCTCGCAGTGCGGGCTTCGGCTTGTCAGAAACGCAGAATCTCAGCCCTGGCCCCAAATCTACTGAATGAGAAGCCGAGTTTTAACCAGATCCCCAGGGATTTGTATGCACAGGAAAGTTTGCGAAGCACTGCTGCAGCCCTGGCTAGGCGTGTTACAAGGCCGGGACAGGGAGGGCTGCACGGGGGAGAAAAGCAAAGCAGGGGTGTGGGGGGAGAGCCTGGCAAACCCTAACACGCTGTGTCAGCACCCTTCCCACCTCTCATGCCTGGGGGCTGCCGGCCCAACCTCCCCTCGGGGGCTTTCCGGGCAGGTGTCCTTGCAGTTAAGCTCTGCTGGCTGCGGGTGAACCCACAGGTAGGGGAAGGGAGGGAGAGACCCCTCTGAGACCCAGAGACAAGCTGCTTGGAGAAGCAGGGCCCTGGGGGCCTGGGAGGTTCCTGGTGGGGAGGCCTGGGCAGGAATGGAGGGTCTGTCACTCCAGAGGGCTGTCTCTCCTTCCCAATTCTGCCAGAAAGTCCTCCCCTGCAGGGCTCAGAACCCCCCTGGGGAAGGGCGCCTTGGTGGAGGTTTTCCCGGGGTGGCTTCCTCGGGGAGCAGGAGGGCTGGGTGCTCAGAAGGAAAAGCCTAGGCGTTTACAGAAAGCGCGGCCTGGGGCAACACTTTTTTATGGGAGCGAGTGGGAATGTGACGGATGCCCCGAGGCCGGGCCCAGGGCTGCCAGGTACTGAGGGGCTGGAGGAGGGTGCCCGGGCGGGCCCAGCAGCCAGCCCTACACCTACAGCGCCCTCTCTTCGCTCGTCAGCGTGGTGATTCTCCGCAGGTTTTCCCTGACTTTAATAAACTCAGGGGCATGGTCCTCTTCCTTTTCCGGTGGCTTTTCCAGCTGAAGGAGAGAAGCAGAGGTGTGTAGTCAGTGGGGCTGGGCGATTCCCATTCTCAGGACCCACAGGTTTGGACCAAGGATCCTCTCAGTGGGGAAACGGAGCCAACCTGGGGATGGGCTTTGCCACCAGCCTGGCGGCTGAGGCACAGAGCCTGAGACTGAGCTCTCCTTGTGAAGCCTGGTGCCAGTTGCTCACCTCAACTGGGCCTCTGGCTCCCCACCTCTAAAATGGGAGTGCCACCTGGCTTGCAGGCAGTTATGATGAAATCAGAATCAGCATGCTGCACGCTGGGCCGATGAGGAAGCTGAGGTTCAGAGAGGGGAAGCCACTCACCCAAAGTCACACAGCAGAGTGAATGGCAGAGCAAGGACTCAGGCCAGTGGTGGACTCTAGGTCCAGTGCTCATTCTGCCGACCCTCCTCCCTCTCGTGGCTGCAGCCACATGCAGAAAACAAAACCTCCGGGCCACGAGACAGCCTTGAGGACACTCAGGCTGGGCTGGGTGCCTCTCACCCACCTGGTTCAGCCGCTGCTGTCGCCTCAGCAGCTCCTGCTCAAACGGGCACTGCAGCCTCTTGGCCTCCATCTCCTCCTTCTTCTTCTTGATGAGCTGGTTCCGCCGGCGGTGCTCCAGGACGCGCTGCAGCTCCGGCTTGTTGTCCACACCCAGGCCCCTGGAGTGGGGGGAGCCGTCAGGAGACCCTCGCCTTCCCACCTTCCCCAGTCTCAGGGCCGCACTCGGTGGTGACACCAACCTCCACCATTATCTCAACTAATCCTGCCAGTAGCCCTGGAGTTGGGACCATTACTGTCCCATTTTACAGAGACAGGAACTGAGGCTCCAGTCCAAGTCACAGCCACATAGCTACAAAGGGGCCCAATGAGAATTTGAACCCAGGCCTGCCTGACTGCAGAGACCAGGTTTTATTAAATATGTTATTTCTGGTTATTTTCTTAGGATAAGTTTCTAAAGGTAGAATTGCTGGGTCAGGCTCTTTTAAAAAATTTTGTGTGCATGTATCTATCTGTTCCTTAGAAAGGTTATCCAATGTATACTTGCGTCAACAGTGCACAGGAGTATCTATTGCTCCCCCATCACCAGCCAATCTTTTTATATTTGATAATCTGGTAGGCAAGAAATAATGTCTGGTTTCTATTTGTTCTTTGATTATTAGTCACATGGAACAGCTTTTGATATGTTTACCAGCCATTTGCATTTCTTCTTTTGTGAATTAACTGTACCTACTTTTTATATATCTTTTCCTTGTGGATTTTTAAGAGATCTGAATATATCAATTTTTTCTGAATATATAAATTTTTAAAATATAATTCATATTGCAAATATTTCCCCTCGTATGTCTTTAAGCTTTTTTTTTATTGTGGCGATTTTTTGATATTAAAAGGGATGATTCTAAAAGGCAATCAGACAAAATGCTATTATAATACTAAGTGAAAACAAAACCAACCCAGTGTACAAAAGGGTACCTGCTTTGGTCACACAATTGAAAACAAGAAGGGAAATCACACCCGGCTCTAATACCAGAACCGGCCAGCAGAGGGAGCTAGGCCGCCTCCATCCTGGTACTGGTCAGCAGGGCGGTGTATCCCGGTGCAAAGCGGGGAGGCCCAGCCTTTCCTCTGCTCCACTTCACACCCCGTCAGTTGCCTGGTCCCACCCCTGCCACCCCCTAGATGCCCCGCCCGCCTCTCTCTCAGTGCGTACCCAGGTCACTGCCATGGAAGAGCCAACCACCATCCCGCGCATCTGCAACATTCACGCCCTCCCCTGTGTTGTGAGCCCCCGGCCCCTCCTCACCCAGAGGGGCCTTTCTGCAGCACGGAGCAGACCGTGCCTCCCATGATTTCGGCCCTTCCCCAGCGCGTGCTTCTCCCCTGGCCTGCACCTCACATCTCTGCGCCAGCCACACTGAGCTACTTGCGTTTCCCATCCTTTTGCACGTGCTGTTCCCTCTGCCACCTGCCACCCACCTCCTAGCCAGCTAACTCCTGTCCCCCTCCAGGTCTTAGCTGAGGCATCACCTCTCCTGTGAACTCATTTTGGGCCCCTCCCAGCTTTCTCCTCTGGGGTCTCAGGCCCATTTATGCCCCCATCAAAGCACCAGTCCTACTGCCTGGTTATGTATCCGTCCCCCTCTGTGAGGACAGGAACTGGGTTCCATTGCTACTTGGACCTCCCAGTCTGGGGACAGTGCCCAGCCAAGGCACGAAGTGAGTGGCTGGTGGGAGAATGGGGCTCTTGGGGGCCCACTGGGGACAGGACCTTCACAGTTTCTGCTGGTGACCCTGTGGGGCACCCTCAGCCCTCCTCAGCCTCCAGGAGCCCCAGGAGAACAGCCAGGCCAGCTTTCCACCAGGGGCACCTCCCCACGCGCCAGCAGGCCTGTCCCCACCTTCTGTGGTTCATGAGCAGCTCCCGGTGCAGCTCCTGGTGGCTCCGGGAGGCCTTCACGGGGTTCAGCAGCTTCTTGGGCTTGATGAGCTCCGGGTTCCGCTCTCTGTATTCTGGCCGGGCCATCAGCCCCCCGATGTCCGCCCGCTCCCTCTGGATTTCCGAGTACATGGCGGCTGTAGAGATGGGCAGAGGCGTTGGTCAGAGCTGGGCCTACAGTCCCACCCATCCCTGGGGGCACAGTTGGGGGGCAACACTTTTCTTGTCAGATGGCCCTTGGCACCTGCTACTGTATAGCCCTGGGCAAGCTACATGACTTTCCGAGTGTTAGTTTCTTCATCTATAAAATGGAAACAATCATCAAATGTATGTACAGGGTTGTAAGGATTAGAGACGGTGTTTGTAAAGTGTCTGAGGTATAGAAGTAAAGTGATACTGGGTCACCAAATATGGGTGGACATGTGTACATTTTTGGCTTGACTTTGCAAAAACTAATTTCTCCCACTATAAAAGGAATTGTGTTTGAGTTTCTGTTTTTCAGTGAGCTTGTACCAGAAAAAGAAAACATACTTAACAAGAGTGCTATGTACTTGGTAAAGATAAATGCAGTGATAAAAGAAACATCACCCTTTATTGTCTAACTCCCTGCCCGTGGTCCCACATCCTCTCATGGAAGCATTCAGCTTTGCACTTTCTCCATATCAAAGGGGAGGGCATGCAACCCGGAAACTGCTGCATCCCTAATTACAAAGGGATGGTTGTCATCCTCTGTGCAAGTGTCTGGCAACGCAATGGCCTCATTTCTACCACAGCAGTTTGAAATTTGTCATTTTACTTAAAATTCAGGCAGAAGGGCTTCCTCCTCTACAGATTGCTTTATCCTTGAAATGCCCAAAATCGAGAGAGAGAGAGAGAGAGAGAGAGAGAGAGAGAGAGAGAGAGAGAGAGAGAGAGAGAAGACTTTTTGAAAAAAAGTCTCAAGGGAATAGATACTGCCTGGCTATTAGCTGTTTATAGTAATTACAGCGAAAATTTAGACATTAGCTCTGCCCGCTCATGAGTCCAGCTTTTCTGAAGTAGATCCCTACTATGTGCCAGGCACTGGCCGTGTCTGGTCTGGTATGTAGCAGGCATTTGATACATATTTGTTGGTAATTGATAATAAAACTTTTGAGGTTTTGGTCTTGGGGAACCAATGCCCTAAGCCTTTTCATGTGGCAACTGAGGTATGTGTCCCCACTTCACATCCCAGGCTTCAGTCCCCTCTTGAGGACCACCATGTTCCCTTTGCACAGATTCACTTTCTCCCCCACACTGGGGAGGGGAGGAAAGCCATTCCCTGCCTGAATGCAGCGTAATGGATGAACAGTTCTCCAGGCGAACTAGACAGGGATGGTGATCTGGCGGAAAACCTGGAAGTGGCCAATCGCTTGTGGGGGTCAGAAAGTCCAGAGAAGGGGTTTGGTGGGGTACAGACTGCAAGACCACGTGTCAGGGGAATGTAGGCATCAAGTGGGGGGCTGCACTTTGCAAGAGGGGCACACCAGACACGCTTGGCATTTCTACGATCGCCCACCGCAGGGTGCTGTTAGGAGGATTACGTAAGACCACATATGTAAAGGTGCTGTGTACACTGGAAAAAGTGTTCATTATTATAAGGCATTTTAGATGTTAGCCAGAGTAAGTGTCAGGACATAGAAACTTATCTACTATTGTGTTATCTTGAATTCACGTTCTCAGAACCATTTCTAAAATGAGAATTCTAATTAACTCCCTTTTTTTTCATCTTATTCATAAGGCTGTTTGCTTTTAGGTTCTATCCTTCCTAATTTTTTGATCCTTAAAATATAAATAATGGTGTTTGGTAGTTACTTTAAAATGGCCACTTGACAAAATAAACAGTTGGCTGTATCAACTCTCTCTCTCTCTCTCTTTTTAGTGTGGGTATTTTCTTAGTCCATGGGATCGAGTTGTCTGGGAGCCAGTGCACTACAACACCCTGATTCAGATTGCAGCTTTGGGATTTTCTGCCACCATTCGCTGCCTATTTCTGCTACCAAGGTCCACCAATCCTTTGACTGAGTAATTCTCAGCTGCATCTTTCCTTCCCATGTCCTCAGCTCTCATCCTGTCCAGGTCATTGTCACACCACACGTTAATAACTACTGTGGCTCCCTGGCTATTCACCCTGTCCTTAGTCCTGTTGTGCCCCAAACCTTCCAGAGCTGCATACTTTTTTTTTATCAGTCACACCATCTTTAACACATTGACTGCCACACTAGAAAAAAATTATTTTTCCCTGGGGCCGCTATGTTTTATTAAAACAAAATAATCTTTCTAATTTGTTATTTTTTTATTGTTTCCTGTGCATGAATTATATGCAACACAATCCAAGTTTTTAGAATGAAATTGTCAATATTAATTGTAACAATAAGAACATCAATGAGTAAGATTTTCAGGAACCAGCTGCAGGGTTTTGCTTCACGAGGCCCCAGGCTCAACACCAGCATGAGTTAAATACAACTCACGTGGTAGTTAATGTGTTAAAAGAACTCACTATGTGTTGCCAAAGCGATAAGGCAGGAAACAGAAATAAGTTGGACGGCTTTGGGAAAGGAGATGGAAGAATTAATATTTGCATAGATATGGCTGTATACCCAGAATTCCCACATGGATGATGAGAAAAGCATTTGGAACTAATGGGAGAATTCGATAATGTGGCCAGATACAAAATAAGTACACAAAACCTGGAGCTCTTGCATAACGGGAGTAACAGGAGTGACCATTGAGACAGTGCAATCACACATTCCACAGAAGCTGGAATTCCTACAATCCACCAGGTACTGTGGTAGCACTGGACACCGAGGGGAACTAAGCAAGCGAGGTCCCCGCCCTCACAGCACCTACACTCTGCTAGGGAGTGACAGTGAGCACAAACACACACATCAATCAAAACAAAAGAGCTTCATGAAGGAAACAGGCGGCTCCCATAGAGACTAAGGCAGGACCTACCTTCAGCCAGGTGCGGGGGGAGGGCCTCTTTGAGGAGGGGACATTAGGAGCTGACGGCTGAGAATGAGGAGGGAGGCCGTTTGAGGGCTAGGGAACAGCATGTGTGACTCACGTACCTTGAACAAGCCGGGTCTGTTCAGGGAACAAAAAGGCATAGTGTGCCTGGAGAGGCCAGAGCGGGCGACGGCCGGGAGAGTGTTTGCAGTGAGGGTGGACGGGTGGGTTCAAGTCGGGGAAGGAGCCCGTCTGGTTCCATTTTAAAGAGGTTATTCTCGCGGCTGTGTGGGGAAAACTGTCAGCAGGCTTTGGGAATTTTTTATGATGGTGGTTTCCTTCACTTCCAATGTGCGGTCTCTGCCTGTCTCTCTCTGTCCTGTTAAATTGCGGAGGAAAAACCTCTGATTGGCCTGGCTGAGACCCTTCGCCCCTGGGTCACCAGCCAGCCGTGGGGTGGCTGCCCTGGGCTCAGACCCCACCCAGGCAGCCAGACAGAGTCACACAGGGTCGCCCTTAGAAGAACGGCCCTGTCTGGTTTACCCTTCTGTTGTCTCTGTCTTGAAATTCCTGATGCATTTTGCATGAGTGGTCCTGCATTTTTATTTTGTGCTGGGCCATGCAAATTATGTAGTCAGTTCTGCACCACCCCAGGTCCAATCAGTGGCCAGCCCTAGTACAAGATCTGCTCCAGGCTTTTTTATTATTATTATTATTTAATATAAATTAAATCAATGGTGAGCTGTAGAAGGTGGTGTTCCCCTGAGGCCGGGTGGCATGGTGGGTGAGGCAGGGATCCTGAAGGCTGTGGCTGGTTCTTCAGCCCACAGCCGCAGTGAGAAAACACGTGTGCCATCCATATATACACTGTGTCCAGCATGGGGGGGGCAAGGCTGCTGGGAGCCCCCAGGGTTTAGAGAACTGCTGTGCCAGCCTTCCTGCCTTTGAATTTAATGCCACGAGGCCTGTGTGTACAAGAGCCCCACACAGGCCCTGTCACAAGAGGCTGCTCCACAAAGCACAAGTGCTAGGCCAGGGAAATCCAGGTGAGGTCTGGGGTCGTTCCCGGGACTGCTGGGGTGTCTGAAGAGAGCCGAGACTAGGCACCATTGGGGAAGTAACGAGGGTGGGGCAGAGAGGTGAGGTGGGCATGAGACAGGCCAGCTCTGAAAAGAGAAGGTGAATCCCGAAGGAAGGGCTGGCAGCGGAGAGGGACAGGCCAATGGAGAAGGAGGAAGTTAAAGGGCTAGTTAATATTCGTCACTGCCTGTCAAAGCAATGCAGAATAAGGCAGAATGATACAAGTGTTTGAGCCATTCCGGACCTGGATTTGAATCTTGGCTCTGTCCCTTCTTAGTCCAAGGCAAGTTTATCTACTCTCTGGAGCCAGAGCCTGGGAAGTACAGCCTTTGGACCAAATCCCACCTCCTTGGAACACAGCCACGCCCACTCCTTACTTACTGCTTATGGCTGCTTTCCGGCTAGAATAGCAGAGTAGGTGGGACAGCTGCTATCGATCTGGTGTTTCCTCCTCTGCAAGATGTGCATTATAGTAGAACCCTTCTTCGTGGGGTTTTTGGATAATAAATGAGGTGATACTTGCAAGGTGCTTGGCAAATGCCTAGTACAGACTTGAGGGTTTGTGGCTGGCTACCAGAGCTGCCCCATACAGCAAGGCAGGTTGTGCACTGCACAACTCCAAATCCTTAACTCTTGTAGATTAAACTGTGAATGGTGCCCCTGGCATTGCAGTGTGTCCACCCTGTTGTCTGCTATTAACAATTACTACTAATAAATCCCATTCCTAGTCCTGCATTGAGCTTTCTCATCCTCCCTAAAAACTGTGCTGATTAAATCAGTGGATCTTAACCTTGGCTATGTATTGGAGTCGCCAGGGGATGTTTTAACAGTACCAATGCCAGAGTCCCACTGCAGGGATTCTGATCGAATTGGTTGGTGGGGGGCAGCTCGGTCTTGGGGATTTTTAAATGCTCCCCAGGTGATTCCAATAGGCAGCCAACTTTGCAAACCACAGGGTTAAAAAGAAAAAACAATGAGCTTCTTTGCTTTGGCCTGAGTGATTTCAGCTGACTGTGGTTATTGTGAATGAGTCTGAGTAAGGTCACAGTTCTTAGAGGCTGTGTGACCTTGGGTGGCTCTTTAACCTCTG